GCATTCTGTCGGGCTTGGCTTCTCCCTCTGTCCCGGGACAGCAAAGTGACCGCCTCCACCGTCCCTGCCGGCACATCCTCAAGAAGACATGATGTCCCGCTGCAACAGGGCGCTGGGTGCCTCCTCATCTCTCCTCTGAGACAAGCAAGACTAGTGTGGATTGAAGCGCGTCTTGCTTCTCATCGGAGTCTCTCGACAGCAGGGAGTGGTGCCCAGCATCTCCAGGGGGCTTTGGATTATTTCATTTATGTGTCCGTGGTGCTGGGACTGAACATCAGGCCTTCTGCAACTCAGCAAGCTTGGACAGCAGTGTTCAACGTGAGCCTGGTGCTGAAGGAACCGAGCTTCATGCAACCCGCATGCTTGCCAAAACTTTCTGAACCCCCAGCTAATTTAAGCTGGGCTTGATGGAGAAGCAGAGCGCTTGGAGACATCCAGCTCCCATGCGGTCTGGGGACACTGGCAGCTAGGTGGTTGGGAAGTGGCTCCTCTCCACCCAAGCGAAGGCAGCTGAGCTGAGCTTTCCAAAATTGCATTCCAAGTGCAAACCCAGCGTTGTGACCCTGTCCCCAAGCCAGGGCTTTGCTGGAAGAGGAGCAAGGCAGGACTCTCCGGCAGGTGCAGCAGTTCCCGGCTACTTTCCCCACAGCCTGCATGATGGGTACCCAGGGAGCGGCCCTGCAGCTGGAAAGCCATTTGGCTCCTCAGGGTGCAGGAGATGAGGGTCATTATCATGGGCATCTTTGGCACCTTCAGTAAGTTTTTTCTCTCCTTTTGCTTTCCTGCTGTGAGTACTTGTGCCGAGGTATGGATGCCCCTGCACATCTCACCTGGCTGGTAACTCTGAAGCGTAATGACAGCACAGTGACAATGGGGCTTGCAGCACTTTCATGTGAGGCTGTTACAAAAGCTCCCAAAAGAGGAATTAAAGCTGGGTTCCTCACTCCGGCACTGAGCTCTTTCTCCAGCAGCCCCTCCTCTGCGGTGGGTGAGTCCCTCCAAAGGCTGCAGCCCTCTGACCCAGATTTCCCTGGAGTGGAAAGAGGTGGCATGATGTGGAAATCACTTCTGTAAGTCACAGGAGTGTAAATCAAACACGTGCGCGCCAGAGCAGGGGACTGAAGTTAGGAGGAGCAGCCAGGAGAAGCTTTTGGTCACTGACCCAGAATTTGGCATGAAATCCTGTTTTATTGAAGCTGTTGGTCAGCAAAGCTCCTTGGCATTAGCACTTTTTTGCCTTTCATTTTCTCTGAAAGGAGAACTTCCAGGTTTCAAGCTAGGCAGTGGTGCCGGCACTGGAGATGTACCAGTGCTGCACCAGGCTCTGTGCTGCACCAGTGCAACGCCTTGGGTAGAAGCTGAAGATACTGAGGTGCTGAAGAGGAAGAGGGTCACTTTTGGCACCCACTTGAGACCTCCTCAGATGGTGACAAGATGACAGCTCTCGGCTTGGACCTCTCTTGGATGGAGCTGCGCAGAGCTGGGCATCTGGCTTTATTTTGGCATTTGCCAGCAGCACTGATTGCAAAGGGAATGGTCTGACTGGGATGGGATGGAGCCAAACCTGGGGTCTGCGCATGGAGGAAGCCCACGGTGGCCAGGGAAGGTTAAGATCCACGAGCTTTAGTATAAAGATGCTGACAGAAGATGTTTCCTCTGGGCACCATCTGGCATCTAGCACGGCTTTAAAGCCTCGTTACATCTTGGGGACGGAAAAACAACCTCCCTGGCACTGCTATGGGCCGCGCTGCACCTTGCCAGCTTTCCTCCCCAGCTGTTTTCTGCTCCTCTCGATAGCTTTTGGAAGCCTTCCCCTGCTCGGGAGAAAGAAGGGAAGTTGGTAATGCTGAAGGCTTCGCACACGTGGTCACCTCTGCCCCTCCCCGCGGCTGGGCGCCGCTGCCGAAAGCGTGGGCTGTGTTGACTTTCCATCCAGACGGTTCCCATCAAGCCCCAGAGGTGGAGGCTGGATGGTTTAGTAAGGCAGAGCTTTGCAGACTGCGCGGGGATGAGCGGGTCGGCCCCGTTTTGTTTGAGGGGTGTGTGTGGAGAACAAAAGACTCCCGCAGATACTTTTGCAAGGTGTTGGAAGTGCAGCTTCCTCCAATAGAGGCCTGGCTTCCCTTCCCCTGGCTCCCAGGGGATCCCCGATGTGAATGGGGCACTTCCCGTTGCAGCAGGTATCAAGAAACACATCTGAGGTGCCTTTTGTGCTCGGCATGCTGGCAAGGAGGTGAAGGACCAGCTCCGTTGCGTGCCAAAACCCAGCCGGCCCGGCCAAGCATCCCGGCCCCAGCAGCATCCGAGGATGAGGAGCAGCCAGGGCCTGGAAACAAGCAGAAACCGGGCAGTGTTGAGCTCGGGCCGTACAGACCTCTGCCCCAGAGCGGCCCTGGGGATGTGCTGCTGCACCTGCTGTGGGGAGCAGGCTGAGGCGCCTGCCAGAAGCCGGAGCGATTAGCTGGAGAGGTTCGGCAAAGGTCACAACGTCCCCCACTCTGCAGGACTCCTCAGCAGCAGGTGCTGCAGACCGGGGGGGTCTGATGGGGCAGATCCGCTCCCCAAGCTCCCCTCTCCCTGCAAAGCACCCTTGGAGGCAGACTGCTGGGACTCGGGGGCTTCATCGCCGTTCTTATGTGGCTTAGAGATCACCATCGTCCAAAAAGCCACAAATAACCACAGGGGGTGGAAGGCACAGAGGACATTTTCGCTTTCACTCTCTCAAGCTGAGCCCCGTGCCGGGGCAGTGACGCAGTGACCCTGCCCAGAGGAGGATGCTCTGCCAGCAGCCGGGTCATGGGGAGCCTCTCACCTGGCTGGATGGCTTGTGGGCAGGCACAGCACACCCTGCCTTTGATTGATGCCTGCTCGATACAGCAAGTCAAAAACCTCAAAGCAAAATGATGGTGGAGCTAATGGCACAACAGGATGTTACCAAAATAAAAGAATATCTTGTCCTCATACCACCTTCTCTGTTGCAAGCTAGCCCCAGGAACCTCCTTTTCTCAATAACTTGCAGAAAATGAACCCAAAATCTGCTTTTTCTTCAGCTTTCAAAGGTGACACTTGCACTTCTGCAAACACAAAGTGGCAGCGGGGCCAGACCACCAAAGACTTGTGTGTCTCTGGTCTTTTTGCTCCCCTCATGCACAGCTCCCCTTACCCACCAGTACCCTCCACTGGCATGCTAGGACAGGACCAGTAAATGCCCTGGTACGCCCCTCTGTTTCCCTCTGTCCCCCCCCAACACACTCCTGTGCCTCTGCCAGGCTTCCCGCCCGCGTTTTGCAGCCGGCAGCGGTCAGGGATTTCTTTCTGAAAATTGTTTTCATTTTCAAGCAGCTTTTCACAGTCAGTGTCAGCCAGTTCCCCCTTCTCCTCCCCAAGGCCTGAAAAACAAGAAGGGTGGGACCTGCTCCCCGCCTGATCTCCGGGGGCATGGGCTCCTCCTAGCTATTTTCTTTTTATTTTTGTCTCCTTTTTCTTTTTTTTTTTTTTCAGCCGGCTCAGCAGCACTTGCTGCCCTGCCTTGCAGAGGTTTGGTGCCCCACAAGCAGGCATCTGGAGCAGATCTCCACCTCCCTGCCCTGCTCTGCCAGCTCTGCCGGCCCTGGGCAGACTTCTGCCTCCCGGCTGCTGTTAAAAGCTGACGCTCAGCTGTATTGCAAGCATGCCTCTCCCCCAGGGCTTATTTCTAGGGCAAAATTGTGCTTCCAGGCGGGCTGGGATGTTGCTACAGAGCAAGTAAAGGACTTTCCCTGTGTTTCCCATCTCCCCTTTCTTGGGATAGGGGAAGCTCATGAGTTTTTCTTGCCCTAAGGGCATGGGTGAATTTTTTTCTCCCTGTGCCTGCAGGATGGTGTTCACACTCTCTGCAGCCTCTCTGCCAACATTGATGATGGGGTTTGCAGTGCTTGTTCGGGGAAGGAGCCCCATTCTGCTATGAATTCAGGGTAAGCCCAGGGCTGTAGGGTCTGACCCAGCCACTGTGCCTTCTCCCTGGCAGGAGGGCCGGCAGCTTTCCTGATCACCACCCCGTACTCGCTCTGCGTCTGCCCCGAGGGCCAGAACGTCACCCTGACCTGCCGAATCAGCGGTCCCCTCGCTGACCGCCACAACCTGCTCTACAAAACCTGGTACTTCAGCAGCAATGGTGACCAGAGCTGCTCCGAGAAGAAGCATATCCGCAACGTCAGCGAGAAGGAGCTGCACCATGACCTGGGCAGGCACCACGAGCCATCGGGCAACGGCACCCAAAAATCCCACCTTGGGGGCCAAGCCAGCCATCACGGGGTGGAGTTTGTCCCTGACCACCATGGTGCCTTTCACATTGTGGTGATGAACCTGACGCTGCAGGACAGTGGGAATTACTGCTGCTACGCCGTGGAGGCCAGGCGGGAGCACGACAAGCCCCACACTATGCAGGTTGCTCACAGCTTTGTGGAGCTGCAGATCCAACAAGGTGAGGGGGGCAAAGGGGAGCCCCTGCCAGTCTTGCACCCATGTCGGGGTGCGTTGGGGCAAGGCGGCAGATAAGGGATGTTGGGGGATGTTTGGGTACAGCAGTGGGGCTTGGGGAGGCAGGGTGTGCTGATGCTTAAAGCCCACGCCATGCTGCAAGAATCAAAGAGCAGCAGATGTTGAAGATTTGAATTAGGGCCAGAGAGCACTGGAACATTAAAAAAAATTAAAAAAAAAAAAATCAAGAGGCTGGAACGCAATAAAATCCATGCTACATAGTTTCGCTGATCTTACTCAACCTCTTTCTGGAAGAGAGGAAAACAAACCTCAACATAAAAGGAACTGGCTGGCAGTCCAAGCCTGAGTGAGGACTGCAGGCATGGCTGGGGATGCAAGGGCTGTAGATAACCTTGGGGCAGCAGCCCAGTGGGGAGAGCTGCCCAGGGAGGCGCAGCTGGGAGGCGGGAAGGCGTCTCCTGCCCTTGATTTGCAGCATTAGGATAGGTACTTCTTCTTTTAGACCAAAAAAAGAGCCTGCATGGCAAGGGATGGGACCTGCTGCCATGAGGGGAAAGGGGTGCCAAAGCAGGAAAGTCGGCGTAAG